TGTAGCTTCCTCCGTGCTCAATTCTTTGGAGCTGAAAGTTTCTGGAAACAATTTCCAGCAACCTCTTTCGGGTAACGTTTGTGAAGCCGGTCCTCAAGGTGATCGTCGAGACTTAAGGAAGTCTTCCAATATGGCTTTGATACCAGATGTTGTACCCGAGACCCAGGGTCTTATCGAGTAATTAATTTGATGGTGGATTTACGGAGGAAATGGAAGCAAGACGAAAACAACTTTGAACTCCAAAGTTCAGAAGCTTGTGATAGTCGATTATCACTCCCTGATAATCGATTAACAAGATATGATTTCCAAACCACGAACATTCAGAGATGCCCGGTAGTCGATTATCACTTTTATGATAATCGATTATAGGAAATGGATGGATGAAATATGGAGGTGATGAAGGAGTTGTTTTTGGTATTTTGATTTATGAAGGTAGAATAGAATGTGGCTTAGGAATAGAAAATGGAGAGGAATGAAATGGATAGAAAACAAGGATGGATAAACCAAATAATGAATAAGAGATAAACACACTCTTACTATATTTGCAGCTGTTATCTATTTTACACAATAATAATTACTACTAATGTATAAAATAGACTCCTAACACACTCAAAAGTAGCCAGTTTTAGAGATATTTCATTAGGAAATTTGGTTAAAATAGCATCATACTATTTTAAGAGAATACTCAAAAGAGTAACAAAGTTTATCATTCAATAATCAGCTGTGTTACAAAGGCCTAAGGGCCGAATTATAAACAATGATGCAAAGGGAGTAAACACTACAAATGAAAGTAAAAACAAACTAGGATACTACCAAGCATCATCCCTTCACAAATCAGCATTTGTTCATCACTTTCAGTCCCATTCTCGGGATTAGCACTTTATACTTTAGCTCCAAGTTCTAGTTTATCATTATAGTAGTTTTAGAATTATTTTTGGAGAAATTCTACTCCCGATCTGTTCAAATCCGCTTGTACAGAAGTTGTAAGTTTCTTTTATTTAATAAAATGTTGTTTTAATTTGTGTTTGCATAGTATGAGTTAGGGTCCGGATCTTTGGGTCCGGACTAGTTTGGTTGTTTATTTTTGGAATTAAATTAATGTTGGAATGATTAATCTATTGTTCTTACCTTATTTGGTTAATTAAACTCGTAAGATTTAATTGGCCATTTATTGAGAAAATATTATATGCCAAATGGCTATGATATTCAAGTGCAACAGATTAAGAACAAATCTAGAGATGGATGAGTAGTAATAGAAATATTATTATTCCTATTGTTAATTTAATATAATAAAATATATCCAAATGATGTCCACACCATAGGCCCAAATCTATATATATACTATGTGAAATTTATTTATTATTTTTACTCCGCTCCTTCTATATTCGTTCCGAGAAGACTTTCATAAACCAATCCTAATCTTCACCTAATTAGAGTAATTAAACTGATTCCCTTCGTCCACTCCTCGAGAGATACAACACTCGGAGAGAAAACTAACCCTTTACTGGGGAGGTTTACTACCCGAAAAATTACGATTGTCAAATGGCGCCGTTGCCGGGGAGTGGCACGACATTAGTTTAGTTTCTTCTAATTAGCTTGGGTGAAGATGGGTTAGAACAATCTTCTCACTTCTTTTCATCAACCACCCATAATAATTAGTATGGATAACTCCAGTGGTTATTATGGTTCGCCTTCTTTCTACCAATCACCTAGCCGCCCTCCATTTCAAACCCATCCACCTTACCCCCCACATCAGTACCCATATAATAATGCCTACCAAGTCAACCATAGATCTAACTACTATACTTACCATGAGGAACCACCATGTGATATCCCGTTTAGAAACCTTGGATATTCTCCATACCGAGACACTGATGGGGATAATTATTATGAACCTCATGGAGATAACGATGACTATGACCAATATGGGCCAATGCACGACAATCAATCTGACCCGCTCGTCGAAGAAATAATAATATTAGAACAGAAAATCTTCTATTTCGACGAGGTTTTAGTCGTTGAAGGCTCCTGGTACGAACCACCTTACTCCCGTGACTACACTTTGTTTGCTGAAGAACAAATTGAAGCAAACAAGGTGGCAGTTCGAGAAAGAGCAAAACTTCTTGAATCATTTCGGAAGAAAAGGGAGTTCGAAAGAAGATTATCTGAAGGATCAGAAATGATACAGAAAATGTTGGACAACTTTCAATGAGAAAGACTAGAAGTTAAAGCTAAAGCTGATAAATTAGTCAATGATCTCTGTAAGGCTGTCGAACTTAAACGCTCCTTCCAATCTCCAGACGGAATTAGGGAGGCTAATGAGACGCTAGAACTTAAGACCAACCTTAAACCACTCAATCACCAGGTCCCAGTTCTAGAAGACTCACCCAGACTAACACTATCACACAAACCCGAGAGCATTATAACCCTCCCTAGGGCTACTGTGGTTATGTTACGTAAAACCCTTCCTAGCCAAAACCCAGCCAGCATACGCGAGGGACCTGACTCAAAACCACCTACGCCCATTCAAGAAAAGGATGAGGAAGTTTCGCCTACGGCAATAAACGATCATCTCCTTAATTGTGTTGAAGACACACTCCCAAAGGAACCTGTTCTGGAAGAGATAGAGCCCATTACTTACCCCCAAGACTATAATATTCAAGAATCCAAGGAGGAATCTATAGATAAAGGAATACTGTGCAGAGAAAAACCAACTTCATCTATGGAAACCTGTGCAAACTATGATTCATCTGAAGATTCAGACCATACTTTCTTTGATTCCTTACTTGACGGATATGACTATGTATGCCCGAAGGATGGTTGGAACTTAAAAAGTTGGGATGAACTTCCGGTGAGTGACGACGAGGACTCTTCCTTGGGGGAAGGCACGATCATAATCATTAAGCCACAAAAAGATAGTCAGCCTATCGAAGACAAGGAAGAATTCAATATCGCTATAAGGGCCAACGATGTGGATCAACTAAGGAGACTTCCGCCACCACCCATCTACCTAGAGTCTCCGCCATACATCCTGTTGCCACCAAGCCGCAGGGATGAGTCAAGGATCCTGGACCTTGACCAAACAAAACATCAAATAGAGTGGCATCAGAAGAGAGTTAGAAGGGCTAAAATTTATGACTCTCGGATTGGAAAGTCACGGAAAAAGTGGGTGAGCGTTGAGCTACGGACATTAAAGAAGCACATAATGGGAGGCAACCCGTCATTCAGATAACTAATTTATTTACATATGCTTATTTGTTATTTACTTTCCGCACCAGTTGGGGGCAAGGTTTTACTCGTTTTATTTTTCTATTCTACAGATGGATGTTTCTTGGATGATTTCGCATGGAAACCGCCGCACATTGCAGAATATGGAAGTGCTCCCTTTGCACTCAGAGGAAGCGAAAAAGAAATTTCTCACTTGGGGAAACACTAAGATGCTCCAGCCCCCCATGGTGTTGGACCCTGCTTATCTGGATGAACTAGGGCACTGGCAGGACATTGATGACTTGCTGTATGACCCAAAATGGAGAATCCTGCTGTTCTTGCACGCACCAGCCAGCCTGGAAGCCACCATCGAGTTCCTTTGTTCTCTCCGCTTCCTCAATGACGGTGAGGAGGCAAGGTCAGTAGCCGAAGTCACCTCCACCACAAGGGTCACATTCACTCTGATGGGTAGACTGCTGAACCTAATTGTGGCGGACTTAGGGTGGTTAATTGGTCTATACACGCTCGATGAAACGAGGAGCCCTGCCTTTTCCGATCTGCCCTAATAGTTGGACCCCAAATTCAACGTTAAGAAGTTCTGCCAAGCTCACGGGCATGGACAATTTCACGGTGGAGCAAGCCTAGCTAGGAATTGGGCGCGTCCATCTTAGAGAATTTTGCATCATGCATTGACTCACAGCTATTTTGGCCATTCACACGGCCCCGACGTGGTGTATGAGTCTGATATGCTGTTTTTTGGAGTTTGGAGGCGCGCGTACCAGTCAATTTAGCAACCTTTGTGGCTCGATTCTTGTTTGCTCAGTCTACTTGCGACCGCCAGTTTGTCTTGTGTGGACCAATGGTTACACTCCTAGCTCGAGGACTACGTATGGCAGTTCGTGATGTCCTTCTAGAAGCTGCGAGCATGTTCCAACCACCGACAGGGTATTTGGCCCAAATTGCCTACAATAAGGAAGACAAGGAGGCACGTCCAAGACGGTAGCATAACATTCCCATGTCTCTTCGCGAGCTTTCTCAGGCTATGTTCGCATTCCAGGATTCTGTGGACTCTCATTTGAGGAGCATAGAGACGCTCCTTCTCACTCAGCAATGGCGGGTTGAGGAAATACTCGACCACATCCGGGAGCAGGGAGTATAGAAAACGGGGCATGAGGCTGGCCCCAAGCAAGGCAAACGTTAGGGACAGTGAGATCCCTAATTCTCCTATTATTGCATTCGGAACATTAATTTGGATATTTAAATGATTTTATTTTGGAATTCTTCTTTGTTAACTCTTAAAACCATATTGAGGATATTTTATGCATCATTTCATATTTACATGTTATGGTTATCAATTATTTCAATCTTCATCATTGAATCTTGTAAGTATCTAGATAACTTAGTAATTGCATGCGAGCATTTCAATCATTAACTCCGATTCAAAAAAACTTTTAACCACGAGGGCGTGGTTTCGTTTAAGTGTGAGGAGGCAAGAGTTTCTGGTTGAAATGATCTTTTTAGGAATTGTTTTGTCTATGTATTATTAGGAAATGATTTTATAAATAGCCATCAATTTTATTTGTTTGATTAATTAATCTTTAGTTATCACCTGTAAAAATTGGAAAATTTTAAAACTTTTTGTCAAATTTCTATTTTTACTCTAACCTTTTGGGAATGTTTTCTAAAATGATTTGGGATAAATTCACAATTGACTAAGAGTTTTTAAGATCAATCAATTTTAAGTTGCTTTATTGAAAATCTTTTTGCAAATACTCATCTATCTTTTGGGCAATGAGTATTTGTTGTTTCTTAAAAAGAGTTATTTTCAAAGTATAAGGGTGATGTTTCAAAGCATACTTTGGTGAGACCGAGATTCTTGTTTTATCCAAAAAGAAGTTTGTTCTAGGTCAACTGATGAGGCGTGGTGAGTTTGCCAAAAAGCACGTGGTTCTATATTGAGTGTTAGAGTCAAAAAGCATGCGGTTCTATGTCGTGTGATGAAACTTTCCAGAGTGAATACCCAAAAAGCTCGTGGTTCTATGTCACGGGATGAGGTTATAAATTTTTCTTGTGTCAACATGACAAAGTTATTGTAACACCCTAATCCGTCCAGGTCTGCAGCCCCTTTCGAACTAAAGTATTGATTTGGTAATCGTGATAATTTAAAACATTTAAAACATTTTTATTTATAAATAATATTCCATACATAATTGTAGAGAAATACGGAGTGTTTAAATAAAATGCGGAAGCGACTTTAAAATTTGTCTCATAACAACATAATTATTTATTTCATTCAATAATCTACCGCGACTGTCTCGCCCCTTCTGCTGCCAGGAATCAGCCAATCATTCATTCTGCCTACCTGCGTGTAGCAAATAAAACACACTACACGCTCAGCGGTGAAGCTGAGTAAGCATATCTAAAGCGTCGAACATCCACATAAATTGAATCTCAATTCACAATCAACCATTTGATATCATGCACACAATATATGCTTCAACCATTCATAATATTTTCCATATTTTATTCCAAGTCATTTGATATTCAATATATCAATAATGCTCTTAAATTATTCTTAATCTAAGGCCAAATCATTTCATAACAACTCTTAACTTTTCCGAGTCTAAGGCAACATTTCTAACCAGGCCCTTAAACTATAAATAGTTTAATGCAGAACACAAGAATCGATAATCCACCCTATGAGTCATGTGGATTACGTACCAACCGAACAATGATTTGTCGGGTGGGTGATATCCGGTTTGGATCCCGTACGTACGTTTTAACCCGAAATATGAATTGGTCAAGTAGGTATATCTTAGAGTTCTTCTAGATATCCTTAATAATCATCATCAATATACAAGTGGGTATATCTTAGAGTTGTTCTAGATATCATTAACAATACGATCCATTAATTCATTATTTTCACTTTAACAATTCATGATCATCATTCAAAACGTTCATCATCATTAATTCATTATAATCAATAATCAAACAATCGTCATAATGCATAATAACAAATAGCGGCCTAGTCTCGAGTGTTAACACCCGAACTTACCGTCATGCATCACACAATGTTTATATGTCACAAACATCATTTTTATTGTACAAAATCATATTTATATGGTTTATAATTAATTGGTAACAAAATAGGATTTTAGAGCATATTTTCAATAATATTTTCAGAACAGGATCTGTACTTGAGGAAAATTGATTTTTATTTTTTTTAAAATCATCAATTAATACCTAAAAATCGATTTTTATATTTTAAATAATCAATTAAATTCTAAAAATCGATTTTTATATTTTAAATAATCAATTAATTGCTAAAAATCGATTTTTAAATTTTAAATAATCAATTAAATGCTAAAAATCGATTTTTAAATTTTAAATAATCAATTAATGGCTAAAAATCGATTTTTAGTTTCAAAATAATCGATTAATACTTTTTAAATCGATTTTTATATTTTAAATAATCGATTATATGCTGACTTCGAACATCCTCTTCTGGACATAATTCTAATCGATTTTTTAGTAGTAAATAATCGATTTTCGGCTACTGTTCATCATCTTCTACCTCTGGTCAGTTTCGAGTATTATCATTTTTAATCACCAAACTTCAATTAAATTATATAGAAATGTCCTCCCAAGTTCATAGATCATTTTAGAATCATTAAAACATATTTTTAACATTAAATTCAAGGTTTATGATTCTTGAATCTTTAAACATGTCAAACACAAAACTCAACCAAATGACCATTTATGAACGTAAAAACAACCTATATGAACATTCTAGTCATTAGATATATCTACGGGATTACCTTGAAGCGTAAGGGAGGTTTTGAAGATTTTCCGGCGAAACTTCTGGCGACTCTATCTCACTGCTTCGGCGACCTCACACAAAGATGACAGCACCACTGCACTCTACTCTCAGCAAGGAACAATATAGAAGGAAGAATGAGTGGTTTTGGTGTTGAAATGAGGGAGTTGGGTTCTCCTTAAATAGCCCAGGGAAGAAGAAGAAGACACAGGTTTGCAGCTTCCGTGATTGAGCGACGAATTTGGAATCGGCGTAATTGAACAGGGCACAGTTTGGTGTGTAGTCCCTGATTGGGACTAATTTTGGTCCCAAATGGGGTACACTTTTTGTTCCAACTTTCTCCAAATTGAAATCCGATTGAACCATTGGGGTCAGACAGTCAAACTTTGCATAATGATATAATTTTCATATTTATTTGTAATACTTTTTCTGACATCATATTTTTGGGTGGTTGACTTTCACAGAGTCAAAATTCATTTAATTGACCTTTGTTCAATAAAATTCATATATTTAATTCATGTTATTTATTTTCATGATTTATTTCAATAAATCATTTCAAAGTTCACATTATAAACAAATCCCTAATTTGGGTCTATACTCTGGTTCCCCAAATTAAGATCATACAGTAAGTCAACATATTGGATTTATCTCTATGAGATTTATCCAGATTGTGATATTGGATATCAATA